AAAAAGCTTAATACTAAACTTTACTTTAACTTAAGCTATTTTTAGACTTTAACTTAAATAAAATAGATTAAATAATTAATTAAATTATTACTAATAAGTATTTAAATAATAAATTTATCTAAGAAACTTTAGACTTACTCTAAAATAGCACTAGTTATTTAAAAAAGGTAACACTAGCTAACTATAAAAACTAAAATAGTAAGCTATATTACTATAACTAACTTATAATTTTTAATTTTAATAAACTAAAAATTAAACTACTCTAAATTATACATAACTTACTTATTAGAAAACACTTAGGTAGAGGAAAGACTCTTAACCTACTACAGAGAGAGTACTACTAGCTCTACATGTTCTATACTATACGCTAATATATATTATGTTGCTATACTTGCTATATAGTAAAAGCCTTTTAAAAAAAGTATAATAGCCTACTTAAACTACTTCTAATTCTTAAATAAGTTTAAAAAAACATATTAATTAACTTTATTATAAACCTACCTTTATCTAAAAAGTACATAAATATTATAGTAGTTGTTAATTACTTAACTAAGTATTAACACTTAATACTATGTTTCTTTATAACTGCCCCTAATATAGCCTAGTTATTCTACTAATATGTATAAGTTTACTATAGCCTACCTAACATAATTATATTAGATAGAGGTACATAGTTTGTCTTAGCCTTTTAAAATAAACTCTATAAATAGCTCTAAATTATCTTTTATTTATTTATAGCTTTTTACTTAAAGACTAACAGCTAGACTAAAAATATAAACACTATAATAAAATAAGTTTTATAAGTATATATAAACTACTAGTAAAACAACTAAGTAAAATAGTTAGCTATAGTATAGTTTAAAGCTAATAACATAATATCTAAATTAACATAAGTATCTCTGTTCTTAGTAAACTATAAATACTACTTTTAAATAAAATTTAAACTACCTTTAAATACTTTCTAACTAACTTATTAATTTATATAAGTAACAAATATAAATAGACTTATTAATAAAATCTAAAATATATCTAAATATGTTTATAAAAAGCTTATATAAGCTTAAGCTTTTTAATAAAAGTACATAAACTAATCTTAAACTCTTACCCTTGCGTATGTAGCTAGCAAGAAGGTCTAGCTAGACACTAGAAATATCTAAATAAACTAATAATTAAAAAAACTTAATTAAAAGAACTTTAGCTCTTTTATAGTAGCTTATATAGTCTTATTATATACTTACTAATTAATCCTACTTAACAGCATAAAGATACACCCTGTGTTCTATATATTATTGCTACGCTAAGTAGCCTTTAAATCTAACTATCTACCTAGACAGCTAAACTTGCTACTTAAACCTATTATTATAAATAATAAACTAGAATATATTATAAAAAATGTTAAATAGATCTAGTTTAATAAAAAAAAATGTATCTATAAATACCTTATAAAATAAACTAGATATAATAAACTGTTGTAGGAACCTATAAAAGCCTTATAAAAAAACTCTGTAGTAACCTAATTCTACACTTAATACCTATCTAAACTAAACCTATACTCTAATAAAGACAACCTAATGCTAGAACTACTAATATAAAGGATTCTCTTTCTAATAAAAGGGGGGTACTGTTACAGTATTCTCTCTAGATCCTAGACATAACTATATTAGATGTGTACTAGAGTATTATTAGTGCATGTTTAATATAAATATAACACAACATAGATATAAACTTAAGCATAAACTACCTTAACACTAACTAAACTTAGAATAAGCTTAATTTATACTTAAAGTGCTTAGACTTTTAAGCTAAGTATTTAAGTGCTAATTTTTTTTAAACCTTCCTATTCCTCACACAACGTCTTGTACCTACTATAATACCTTACATAGTAATTAAACTAGACCTCTGTGAAGCTCTATAACCTTACTCGTGCACAATTGTGACAATATAAGCGTGTTGTAAATAGTTTCTCTAGCTAGTTATAAATGAAATGATATTTTAAATTTTAGTATTAGTTAAGCTAAGACATTTTATCTTACTTAGTAATTGTTTACGTTACTAAATAATTTTATATAGCTAAATAATTTATTTAGCTTAGTAATAGTTTACGTTACTAAATAATTTTATGTAGCTAAGTAATTTATTTAGCTTAGCAATTCTTTACGCTAGTTTTTTTTTCTAAATACTATAATTCTTAGAGGAATAACTATAAAACTTATACAAAACCAAGATTAAAAGAAGAAAGAAGGAATAGGTGGACAGTACAATTCCGCGCCAAGGCATGGCAGTGAACACTAAAATTTTATACTACTAAACAGGGTCACTTGCTACAGAATAGCCTACTTAGCAATTTACATTACCCTACAAGAGCGTGAACACGCAACACCCTAATAATTGTCACAACAGGTATGCTCAACCTACAAGCATGAGGCAGTATAACCTAAATAGACTAAACTAAGGAGCAGAGGTGCTGCTTCTCTAGTTTGAATATATACCTCCTGCCAGGTCGCTAAGTTTAGAGCCAAAAGGGAAATTAACACCACAAACATGTGATGCGGGGACGCGCCGTCACAATCACCATACTAATTAGGGTAACGAATGGGCTTACATGAGATTACCTCTTAGCTATCCTCTAATACCTCCGTGATTAACACTAAAGATTCACATATATTCAATTTAAGGGTATCATTAGGGTTTTATCCCTACTAAATACCGACAGGTCTTATGTATTACTATTTGCACCCTATGCAGGCTAGAAGGCATGGCGCTCGTTAGTCTCATACTTCCTCTATCACCCCGTCTCTTGCCTTAACCTAGGGCTCTAAGAATGTCCGAGATCTTGCCCTAGTTAGGGTTTGTGAGAACCATACTAGATCGGGAGGTTGTAGTGTTAGGTATTGAGTGTGAACTATGGTTACATGACAAGGAATTCCGTTACTCTTTTGTATACCCAAGGATTTGATCTAGTAAGATGAAGTGTTACAAGAATGGGAAGTTGAACGAAGTTGGAGGTCAGGCCGAAAGTGATAACATTAAACTAGTACCTTGCGGGTTATCCGCCGATCTGAGTTCATGTATTTGGTTGAAGTTTTAGTTGATTGAACAGTGTTAAACTAGTTGTGACAGGTAAGGGGTGCGGGAAATTCTGGAGAGACCGTGCCACGAAAAACTCCCACTTCTGAACCCCCCTAGGAGAGACTAGCTGTCTGTATTGAGTGTCTAGGACTATACCGATATTTTAGAGATTGGAATGGCACCCTAGGCTTGAGTGAACGCTTGGCGACGTGTTTATATTATTTTCTTTGTCCGGCGATGAGCGAAGAAGCCGTGAGCTTTGGTGTAGGCGTGAAGAGGACACGAGCAAGCAAACTGAACGTGATAACGGGATGTATTATGTAGCAAGTCACCCCCAGTGACTGTATTCATGATAGACGCGGCTGCTTCACGGAGATCAGTAAGTCGGGCACCTAACGAGTCGCACTAAAGTTTTACCCCACCCTGAAATAATACTGAAGGAGTTTTACAAGAGGAGATAGGCTGGCATATCCAGATAGTCAGCTTTTCCCAAAAAGCTTTGCCCGCACCTCGATCGAAACATTCGCGTCTCGAATTTGCCAATCAACCCTCTCGCTAGAATTGCCTCCCCAAAAATCTCTCAATTGCCCGACCACCATGTCGCTCTTCCCCAATCCCACGGAGCGCCTGTGCCACTTCAACACTTGGTCTCCAATCCCCAACTTCGTAATACACACGCCTTGACCGTGCGTCCTCCTCGTTCTCATCGCCATAAAACGACGGCTTGCCCGGAGCTTGATACGACACCTCGAACTGGAAAGCGTTGCTTTCTTCGTCTAACAACGGGCACGTCAGTGTAGCCAGCTCCAGAACTGGCATTCTCTGTGTCGCTTCACCAAAAGAGAGAAGCAATGGATCGATTAGTTCAGAGTCGGGGCTTGTGCGGAAGATGTTGCGGACTTCCGACCTATCTGACCTAGGCGAGGAGGGCGGAGTTGTCTGGGGCGCAGGAATCCCGGTGAAGTACCACGTTCCTGAGGGAGTGGTCATGTCGAAAGTTACAATGTAGTTCTTGAGTGAAGGCCATGCTACCGGCGCAGGCGCATCATTCTCCGAAAGTGGCCAGAACAAAGACGGATCAATGGTAGCCTTTAGGGTGAATGATGTCAGATTCTCTGAAAGCAGACGTAATGCTGCGCTGAGGGGATCGAATGAGAAATCTCGTGGTAGGAGCGACTGAATCTCTCTACTCTGGTCTTCTGGAGGCTCGTGGTAAAGCTCGATGAACGCTTCCTTCACCGAACGTAGCGAGTTCGCATTGAGGGCCTCAGTAAGATCATTGCGCCTACCGCGGCGGGAGCTAGTATGCTGACCATTTCTATCGAGTTCATCTGTGCACTCAGGAGTGCCAATTTCGTCCAGACTGTCTGCTTCGTCGGGTATAAGATCATCGAGGTCAACTAGATCCCAACCTATTGACTCTAGATTTAAAATACGCGATGAAATTCTGACGGCTGTACATGGCGCATAAGCTCTTTGACCAAACCGACTGGTGGTAATCGACGAAACCCGGCTCAGTATGGGCAACTGTTCGGGCTCAACGAGTTGGATATAGGACCCCTCGTAACGTTTCTCGAAAATGTCGATTCGTTTTCTCTGTATTACCTCCATCCTGTAGTCGTGTAACGGTTTCTCTCGCTTATGGGGATCCATAGGAGAATACACCTCACTCATATGAAGCATGATCGTCCCCTTGACGCCATCATCCTCCCAGGCTTTGAGTATGTTGAAGAGCTGCTTCAATGATTGCGAAAAGCTCTCGTCATTCGCTATTTGATCTCCGATGGTTTCAAGACGGCCACAGTCCTCGTCGGAGTATGTAGGTAGTACGGTCGAAAACGCGATTTGTTTCACCTTTTCCCGCCGGATGCCCGACACAATAGTCTGAAAATCATATAGGTCTTTGCTCTTGATGTCGAGTGTGCGAAAAGAAATTGTTTCGATTGCCTCCTTCCAGGTCCGCGAGAGGGTGGCCAACGGCGGGAGATTGGCTGGTAGTTTCTTTCGTTCGTGATAAAAAGCCTGGGCCTCGCCCTCGCGGCGCTCGACGAACGACGCAATTCGATTGACCAATTCTTGGGGAAGTGTGTCCATATCGTAGATGTGGTGGCGTTATAGAGGGATAGCTGTGCTAATAGAGAGGGTGGAGGAGCCTGGGGCGGTGAGGCGGGGTGGCACTTAGGAAGGAGCACGTATTACGCCAAGGCGCTAGTGGTATCCACGTGAATTGGGCCTTCCGACCTCTACGACGTCATTGCTCCTTGAAACATAACTAGACCACTTGCACAATCACTTGACCACCTACAAAAGTCTGAATCATTTTTTTATTGCACATACATAATGACTTCTTGAACGGAGAGGCCAAGGAATTAATGTGGAGTACCCAGGCCAGTTGGAACGGAGAGTTGCGCCCTCATCAATCACGCGTATGCAAATTGTATTCCGAGATCGTCCTCACTGCTCACACCTGATATACATTTTGCCTCGCGGCCTAGCTGGATACCCCAATGCAATAGTAATAGCCTAGCCAGAACATTGAGTCGCATGCATTCCCATTATCCAGTATCTTGTTCCACGCGTACAAGTTAGCCAGTGAGATCTTGTTCCTGTCGGCGAATTTCTACGACAGTCAAGTCAGTTTACTATCAAATCTTTACTTGGACATCAACTTACCGAACAGAAGTCACCGTCAATCGCCTTATCATAGCTGTTACAATTTGACACAGCATTATTATCCTGCGTTGGGCTCGGCGCCACGACGCCTACAGATGTCGTAGTCGTCGGTGCTACCGAAACCGGAGTCCGGGTAAGCGTAATAGAATCCGCGGTGCCGACACAATAAGCATAGCCGAGCCAGAAATTGTCTTTACAGTCTTTGGAAACCGCAGGATTCCATTTGAAGAACTGTTCCAGTGTGATAAAGAATTTATCTGCAATACTCGAGCAGCTGTCGCCATCAGCGACTGTGTACCACGATACGCAATTAGCTGGCTGTCCGCTGAATGTTGGGGCTGTGGGCTGTGGTCGCGTGCTTGAGACTGGTGAACTGATTGTCGTTGTCGGGTTGCTTGGAATGGCGGGCCCTGCAATGCAGTACGAATATCCTATGCATGGGTTAGAAGCTTCTGCGCCTGGCGAGCAAGTGCTTTAAGCATACCTGGCCAAAGACCTGTGCAATCCGCTTGCACTGCGGGGTTCCAAGTGAAGAGCTGCTGGAGTGTTATGTTGAAGTACGACAAAACATCCTCGCTACGACAACGTAAGTAATATCCATATTTGAGACATCGGCTGACGTACCAAACAAACCAGTCCGGAACATCTCCATATTGAGTGCAATTTGGATCTGCTCCATCCTATTCAAACGGTAAGCTTCGATATACCAGCAGGCTAGAATCGACTTACTCTAAGGGGAAGCTCGGTATCCGGTCCATCCACCGGAGGTGGCGGTTCACCTACATAAAGCTTTCCGCAGTACTGGACATCTGGTTTAAAGGTGCACCCGGGGTCAGTAGCATTTCCTATGCCCGAATTCCAGAGACCGAAATCATCTAAATTGACGCGATAAACCTGTGCGGCGAATTCGCACAGATTCTTGTACGATGTCCCAGTAAGGTCCGTCTGCATAGTCGAGCCCTTAAAGTATAGATAGCAGTCATCTCTTGTTCCGTCCGCGAATGGTGTTTTCTTTGTACCAGTCGGTGTTGGTGTTGAGCCGGGCGTTGTTGGCGTAAGGGTTACTTTCGTGAACGGTAGACCGGATGGACCAGGTGTATGGAAGCCAGGCCTACCAGAATAGGTGTTTACTACGTCAAATCAGCTTTCCTCCGGCCGGTTTTTGGAGTCAGCTTACTATCTCCCACGGGCGCAACACAATAGCTGATATCCAAGAGCAGATTGGTACAGTTCGCGTTGATGGAAGGATTCAGGAAGACAAAGTCGGCCAACGATATCCCAAATTTCATGGTGACCAGGTTACAGTAATCACCAACTTCAACATCGTACCACTTCCCGCACCTTGTATTTGATTCGTCCGCCGCATCGGTCGGAACGGGAGCCGGAGTCACCGCTGTGCTCGGGGCAAGTGGTGGAATGTTGGTTGGTACTGTATATGTGCCTCCGGGGCTCGATATACATAGGTACGTTCCGTTCATATTCTCTAGATTGTAGCACCCGGCATTTATCACCTGAACGTTCTATCAGATGACATGTTTCAAGGTTGTCATTTATGGGATGAACACTCACCGGATTCCACGCTTTCAATTGAGGGACAGTGATTTTCGCGCCGCTTGCTATCCCTTCGCAGGTGTCGTTAGTCTTTACTTGATAGATTTTGCATGTATTCACGAGGCACAGACTGCCACTCGTTGGGAAGTCACTGCAGTAAGCCGCAAGACTGTTATCCGTGATAAGCCATCCCGTCCCAATCCCTTGCGACTGCGACACTTTGTAGCAATCGTCTCCCGCCGTAAGCAGGTAAGTCTTCCCTGCACAAGTGAAAGGGGTAGGAGTGGGCTCCGTTGTTGATGGTCTGTAATCGTTAGTGAATCCCAGATGCGCATGTTTTGTCGGCCCAAATTGTACTCACGCGGAGAATGGAAGGCTAGATACGGTTAGCGGCTGGCTAGTGATACTGCAACTCTGTGTCTTTGACTCGTAAACAGAGCTACTGCGCAACACCGGGCCGTCGTAATAAGGAGATCCGGCTTTCTTCTGTAAAGTCTTGATGAAGCAGAGATCACAAGGCCCAGGCGGGGTGACACCCGTTGGAGGCTGATCATCCCAGCCAAATGGGCTGTCTGTTTGAAGCTTTAGCTAATAGCGTTCTTTGACATCATGGCGACTTCACTCACTTCCTGGGTCAGCGCTGACGGCTGCAGCGGCGGATACTACATTGCACCATCGCCCAGAATCCTGCAAGCAGACGATATCGTAGTTGAACCGCATCAGATTAGGAATTACCACGAGAGGCATGTCATCGCCGTCATCATAGCCTACCCAGCTCTGCCCTGAACAGGATGTTGCAATGCTCTTCTCATAATTTTGCAATGCAGTTGAACATGCTGCCGTACAAGTCCGGTTCAGTAGAGAAGGTGGATAGAAGTATCCGTACTGGAATTGAGGAATGACAGGACTGCATTGCACATCAGTGAGCAATGCATTCGCGCAATCAGTCGTCAAATTGGCCGGGACGGTGTTGTTCGAAAAGAAACGAGCGGACTCTGCAAGTGGAATTGCGCAGAGCGCAGCGACGACTGCTTGCAGATGTAGAGAAATCATTGTTGTCGTTGCGACGTGAGGGCCGAACGACTGCAAGGCCGAGCACTGGCGGACCCAGCAGCATTTGCGAGATGCAATACATGAGTCCACGGAGACCTCGGTCAGATATCTCCCCCGTTTCGCATCCCCTCCGGTACACGAGATAGAATTTCCACAGTGGTCCTGACTGTGCCTGCATGAGGGCAAAGGGCGAACATTGGGCACTCACATTACCGGTAAGGGTTACGGTGGGTCGCCGAAAGCTCAGGAACGAATCAATATTATTGGTCATGCGAGCGGGATCACGATAAGAGTGCAATTTAGTACCCACCAGCCCCTTCAGTGATCACCCCGGGGGCTAGCTTACGGGCGGACGCCTAGTGTTCGTCTGACTGTGTCGGGGTAGCCGAAGCTCTTAGGTTCGGCGAGAACCTATTACCGATCTTGGCACCTGACACATAGCCCCACTTAACGCACACTTTTGCAAGGAACAATTATCCCTTGCTGTTCCCCTATAAATTACATAATTAATCGCTTAGTTTAAAGCTACTTTTAGGCTTTATATTTTTTTTCTATATAGATTTAATTTCCTAGTTAGTATATTTATAAAGTGTTATCTAAAGATTAAAGTAAAGTTTAAGTATAAGTATAAATATAAAAAAGGTTTTTACAAGAGTTTTAAAGTACATTAAAGCTAGTTTAGGTTAAAAAAAATATTAAAGGCAAGTATAATATCTACAATAACAACATATATAACTTTAATAAACTAAGGTATATAATAAGCTAGATATTTACTAACTAAACTTAGACTTAAAACTTTATTTTAAGCTGTAAATAATACTTTATAAATATGCTAAGCTAGTTTACGCTAATACAGCTTAGATTATACTTAGTATGTAAAGAATTAGCTATACAAGCTATCGCTACTAGCTAAAAAGAAAATTCTTACATAACTTGCTTAAGAATATGCTTAATAATTATCTACTTTTTATTATTATCTAGCTTTTAGAAGTTAGCTATAAAATTAGCTTAAAAAGGTTATCTAGTCTTTTAGTTATTTATTATTATTTTTAAAAATCTTTATCTATAAGTATAGTATATTACTTTAAAGGATTATATTGTGTTTAAAAGCTTAAAGAGTAAGTTATATTTAACATTCTTTTAGCAAATTTAAGAAGTGTTTTTAGAAATATATTCGTGTATAAAAAGTACTTTAGTGTAGTCTTAGTAAAAGTAACTTAGGTGCGTAAGAAACTTGCTTCTAGTATACATTAATGTAGACTACAAGCAAGTTGCTTATAAACCTAAGTTGCTTACTTTTGCTAAGACTCTACTAAACTACTCTTTTTACACTAATGCATTCCTAACAACACTACTTAGACGCGGTAAAAGAATAGTAGATACAGCTTAGGCTCTAGGCTTTTAAATAAAACGTAACACTCTTTAAGCAACATGCTGTAGCTATGTATAGAGTTTTTTAAAAACTAATAAATAATAAACACATAAAATAACCTTTGTGAGCTAATTCTATACCTAACTTATAACAGCTAAATAATAATAAAGAGTAACGTACTTCACAGGCGAGGTGCTTACACACCTAAGTTACTTACTTTTGCTAAGACCCTACTACACTACTTTTCCTACACTAATGCATTTCTAATAACACTACTTAAACATATTAAAAGAATATTAAATATAGCTTACACTTTAGGCTTTTAAATAAGACATAATACTTTCTAAGTAACACGCTGCAGCTATTTATAGAGTTTTTTAAAAGATAATAAGTAACTAACACACTAAATAACCTTTCTAAGCTAATTATATAGCTAACTTATAAAACCTAGATAATAATAAAAAGTAAGTAATTATTTAGCACATACTTAAGCTAAATACGCAAGGATTTCCCCCCTAGCTATTAGCTATAGCTAATATAGCTAATTCTTTATACGCTAAGCATAATATAGGCTATATTAGTATAAACTAGCTTAATATATTTATTAAGTGTTACCTAAAGCTTAAAGTAAAGTTTAAGTGTAAGTATAACTATAAAAAAGCTTTTTATAAAAATTTTATAGTAATTTAAAGCTAGTTTAACTTCATAAAGAATCTTAAAGCTAAGTATAGCATTTAAAATAACAATATGTATAACTTTAATAAAATAAAGTTTATAATAAGCTAGATATCTACTAAAGTAGTTATTATAAGTTGAGAGAGATAAGAATAGCTAAAAGCAGTCTAGCTAGGTAACTAGAAGTAGACAACAGCTATCTAGAGCATTAATGCTAAAAAGTAGGCTATTCTACTTTTTATTACTTTTTAAGGTAGTAACTACTTTTTAAACTAGTAACGTACTTCACAGGCAAGTTGCTTACACACCTAAGTTGCTTACTTTTGCCAAGACCCTACTAAACCACCCTTCCTACACTAATGCATTCCCTACAACACTACTTAGACGCGCTAAAAGAACATTAGATACAGCTTACGCTCTAAGCTTTTAAACAAGACATAAAACTCTTAAAGAAATGTGCTATAGCTATATGCAAAGTCCTATAAAAGACAATAAATAACTATAGCGCTAGACAACCTTTATAAGCTAATTCTACAGCTAAATTATAAAGGCTAGGTAATAAAAAGAAGCAGGTGATTATTAAGACTATACTTAAGCTATATGCGCAAGGAATTTCCCCTTAAATAGCATTTATAGCTAATATAGCTAATTTTTTGCGCGCTAAGCGTAATCTAGGCTATGTTTACATAAACTAGCCTAGTATGTTTATAAAGCGTTATTTAGAGCTTAAAGTAACATTTAAGTGTAAGTACAACTATAAAAGAGCTTTTTATAAGAGTTCTAGGTTAATTTAGAGCAGGTTTAGCCTTATAGAGAATATTAAAGCTAAGTATAGCATCTAGAATAATAACACGTATAACTTTAGTAAGATAGAGTTTATAATTAGCTAAATATCTTTTAACTATACTTGCGCTTAAAACTTTACTTTAAGCTCTAAATAACACTTTATAAACATACTAGGCTAGTTTATGCAAATATAGCCTAGATTATGCTTAGCGCGCAAAGAATTAGCTATATTAGCTATAAATGCTATATAAGGGGAAATTCCTTATGCACATAGCTTAAGTATAGTCTTAACAATCACCTGCTTCTTTTTATTACCTAGCCTTTATAATTTAGCTGTAGAATTAGCTTATAAAGGTTATCTAGTGCTATAGTTATTTATTATTTTTTATAAAACTCTACACATAGCTACAGCATATTTTTTTAAAAGTTTTATGTCTTATTTAAAAGCTTAGAGCGTAAGCTGTATCTAATGTTCTTTTAGCGCGTCTAAGTAGTGTTGTAGGGAATGCATTAGTGTAGGAAGGGTAGTTTAGTAGGGTCTTAGCAAAAGTAAGCAACTTAGGTGTGTAAGCAACTCGCCTGTGAAGTACGTTATAAAAAAAAATTTTACTTTAAAATTAAGTTATTATAATCTTTAAGCGCAGCTAGACTACTAATTAGCTTAGTTTAGACTAGTTAAAGGACTTTAATGCATATATAAAAAAGTGTACTATTAGTAGCTACTGTTTACTAGTTATTAATAGCTATAAGAGCTATAACTTACTTTATTTTTAGTAATACTATAAAAATAATAAGATTATTACTCTTTATAGGCCTTTTTACTTATTAGACTTTTTATAGCTACTTAATATAGATTGTTTTACTTCTTTAAAAAAGGCATATAAGTGCTAAGCTAAAAACCTTATGCGTAACTAGATTACTTATATTATAAAAATAAAGTGTCTACTATGCTTTAAAGTAGCTTATAATGCTATAATTACTTTTAGTAATATTTAAAAAAAGTTTTAAAGAGCTAGATTAGTTCTTTTTAACTTATAATAAGTTATAATAAGCCTTAATATAAAGTTACGCACTCTATTACTACTACTACTTATATATAATAAGCCTTACTAGTTATAAACCTTAAGTAATACTTTAAAACTTAAGTTATAATTAATGCTTATAAAAATAAAAATTTAAAAGTATATAAATAGTTTACTAACTTTTATAGTTAAAGTGTTTAAAAAAGTCTTAAAAAAGGCAGTAATAATTACACATAAGCTAGTGTTAGTGTAATAAGAAATTACTAAGCTTTAAGTAGCTAATAAGGCTACTACATAACATAAATTATATAAAAGAAAGTAAATTAAAGTAAAAAAGACTTTAATAATTAAAAGAGGCTTATACTTAATAGCTTTAAAAAAGTTTAGAGCGCGTAGTAATAGAAAAAAGGTAAAGAAGCAGGTGTAAGCTAAAGTAGGTAAGCTATCCTAAAGGCGCTACAGATAGTGCAATTAGACTAGGCATAACACATAAATGTATAAGCAAAAAGCAGAAGTAGTATCTAAATAATATTCTAGGCTGTACTGTACTATATAGTGCTAGAGCAGGTTATTATAGGCTATAATAGAGTTTGTTAGGGTAGAGTCTTAGCAAAAGTAAGCAACTTAGGTGTGTAAGCAACTTGCTTGTAAAGTCTGTTAGGTAATTATTAAGAATATACTTTAGCTATATGCGTAAGAATTTTCCTCTTAGCTAGTAGCTATAGCTAATATAGCTAATTCTTTACACGCTAAGCATAATCTACGCTATATTAGCAGAAACTAGCATAGTACATTTATAAAGTGTTATCTAGAGCATAAAGTAAAGTTAAAGAGTAAGTATAACTATACAAAGGCTTTTTATAAGAATTCTAAAGTATTTTAAAGCTTGCTTAGCCTTATAGAGAATATTAAAGCTAAGTATAGCATCTAGAATAATAAAATATATAACTTTAATAAGAAAAGCGTTATAATAAGCTGCAACGACAGGGCTCTATACCACTCTACTAGTACAACTAAAAGGTATGAATAATTAACTAACGTTAATTTTTAAGTTTAGAATAGTATATATACCTGTTGCACGTAAGCGCTATCTTAGCCTTACATTATCCCGCTTCTTAGCAGACGCATGTCCCAGGCGTCACATG